GGAGGATCCTTTTATCACCGACACTGACCTCATTCTCAAGGTGTGTGTGTGTGTGTGTGTGTGTGTGTGTGTGTGCACTCTTACCTATCCAAAAGGTGAATTTGGCATCATAAGACTTCCACCAAGAGGAGACCTCACAGCCAACAGGGGACGTTTTTTACTCGGGGAGTTTGAGCGTCACTCAGGACACCTTTATCTTTTTGTTCAGACAAAGAATGGACTCAGTATTCACTTACAGTTTATCACAAACTTTAAAACAAAGAACTGCTGAATAATGGTGAAAATCTGAGTGTTTAAAAGTTTATGAGGAAAGAGAATCTTGAAATTGAATATTTAATACTTTAGTCTCAAAAAAGAGGACATGTCCATCTGAAAGAGGACATCAGCCTGTTAAACTAATGCTTAGTTTATTTTCAAGTGAGCGAGCTAAAAGATGTTCTTCATACAAACGATATTTTGAAAATAAGTTGATATCTAAATATGATCTTACCTTTATATTTGGACTTCTTTTCCTCCTCCTCTTTTCTTCTCTCCTGAGACAGTGCGCCTGAGGTCTTCGCTGTCCTTTTCATGATAAAACAAAGTTATAAATAAAATCACCCATCCTGTTCTGACTCCCCTCGCTGACTTGAGATTCGCCCCTGCATCATGTGACGTGGCTTGCCACGTGAACTAAAAATTCTGCCCAAAGACTGTGAAATGTTTTTCTCCTGAAACCAAATAATTATGATTAGAGCAGCTAAAAAAGAAAATATAATCCACAGGAGGAATGGGGCCCAAATATTTGTTGTTTAATGTTTGAATAATTATCACGTTTAGGTTAAATCAGCCGTTCTTTAAAGGAACAAAGAAAGTCATTGTGGTAAACGAGCTCTCAGGTCACCTGTCAGACAGGTAGATCTCACTCAAGGATCCAGATCTCCTCTTGGCAATTAAAAATAAAATTAAAAGTCACATTTTAAGTTAGATTATGGTAGAAGACCTTAAAGAAAATCTTCTATTATATTTTTGTTTTATTAAATTTTATTGTAGAAAGTTTTATTTTTTCTTCTCCCTTTTTCCCTTCGCAATTTTTTTTCTTAATTATTACATTTATTCAAGTTCTTAATATTAGGATCCTTATTGTTATAACTGCATTTTTGCACTCTTTGTCTTGTCTGTGATGCTGCTGTGACAAAAAAATTTCCCCCATGGGGGATCAATAAAGGAATATTCTATTCTAACCAAAGTGACCAGAAATAGGGGTCCCCTCTTGGTCAGTGTGTGTGTGTGTGTGTGTGTGTGTGTGTGTGTGTGTGTGTGTGTATCATAAATCTGGACCTCAGGTCTGAGTCACCGGCTGCACGCCGCTGTTTTGATGGTCCGCCTCTTCTTCTGTGTTAGCAACAACAAAAACATAGAAATCAAACCTAGATCTGCACACAGAGGTTTCCCTCCTCTTAGTTCTCTAGAAAAACCTCTTTTCTGCGTCGGTCTGCGTCCCCCTCCCTGAATCGCTCCCTCAGCCTGAGGACAGAGGAGTTGTGGGCTGAAAGTAGAGGGCGTCCTTTGGGTTAATTTGGCTCTATTTTGTTGGTGGTCATGCCAAAGTTGTGTATCGCCCAGAGGGGTGTGCGGTTGTGGGGGTCAGGCCGGGGTGGGGTGATTTTTTTTCTCTCTCTTTTTTTTCCAGAGGGGACACAAACGCACAAAGGAAACACTGGTAGCACTTAAGGAAAGCCAAATAAACAATCTGGGTCCAAATGATTCACAGGTGTGGGCGGGCAGGACCGCCATCTGCGGCGGCAGCGCGGCCCCTATGGTGGCACCCCTCCCGCCCCGGCGGTGGCACGGTCCTCAGAAAGAACTCGATTATGTAATCAGTTCAGCTGTTGGTGGAGCTCACAGAAAACCACAGAGAGAGAGAGAGAGAGAGATGGTGCTGCTGCTGCGGAGCTTCTGATGTTTGGACTGGGATGGTCCTCCATGAATGAGGGTCTGTGTGAGCATGTGTTCCACTCTGAGGGTCCCTCCTGTTCAGGGTCTCATGTTCCCGGACTCTTTTATGGTTCTGTTGTTCTGGTATTGACAACTGCTCCGTCAGTTATTGCTCAACACGTCCTCATATCATTGAGTTTATTATCTCACTGCTAAATAACTCCCATCAGTCCCTCTGATAACAGGAACAGAGCGAGACGTCGAAGGTCTGAGAGAGTTTATGAGTGATTCTGATATTTATCTATTTATTATATTTCACTAAATTCAACATTAAGACCAACAAATAAAAACGTTTCATTTAGTCCCTTTAGGAACTTTTGGATTTCTGTCCAGATAAATTTAAATACAAGCCAGAGACAATTTGATATTTGATATCCTCAATAAATCAATCAAATCTTATTTATATAAACGTCACTTCACAACAGTCGTCATCCCGAGACGCTTTCCAAAGAGAGCAGGTCTAGACCACGCTCATTGTTTGATGAAATTACTGAAACCCAACGTTAAGATAGAACAGATTTGACCTCATCTAACATGAGTGACAGCGGCGAGAAAAACTTCCCTTTAACAGGCAGAAACCTCAGAGAGGACCAGACTATCCTGTCCTGATAAGTGATGATAAAAAAAACACATTTTTCAGTTTGAAAAAAGGTCAAAAAGGTCATATTGATGGTTGGTAGAGCTGACGCTGATGAGGTGCCGATAATCACTCAGTCCGTTTCCATGACACTCGAGAAAACCGAATTATCGCCTTATTCCGATTTAGACCGGACAACTGAAGGTCATATAAACACTTTAGTCCGACTATAATCAGAGTTTGAGAACTCAGATTAAGACACCCAGATAATGTGATTGTAATTCGATTTTCTCTTCCATGTAACCAGCGTAGTCGGAGTATGATGGGAAGATGCATGTGCACGTGAGCCACGCCCCCGTAACCCCGTAACAAACCCCCAGAGTAGAGGAGTAGCGTTGGTCTCCTCTTTAGAAAAAGTAGCGCGTCCATCATGTCGAACAAAAACAACGCTGTACGATGCTCCATCTTCTTGTTTCTCCAAAATGCCCAGCAGCAGTTGTAGACACTTCTGACGTCTGACACCGACCTGCTGTTGTTGTTGACGGTTGGATGGGGTCAGAAACAGCGCCACTGAAAAGACCCATATCGCCCCCTAGTGTTGGGGAGGAGGACACGTTCACGTCAATAATTCAGTTTTCTCAGCTGCATGTAAACGAGGAGAGGAGAGAAGTCTGATTCAGAGAAAAAGACGAGTTATGAGTTTAGTCTGATTAAACTGTTAAAAAAGTTAATGTGTAATTATGATATTTATCTATTTATTATAATTTACAATGTTCAACAGTAAGAACAACAAATATAAACTTTTTATTTATTCCCTTTTGGAACTTTTGGATTTCTGTCCGGATAAAGTCAGAGACTATTTGACATTTGATATCCTGTTGATTATACACGATAAAAAAAAGAGATCAAAAAAGTTCAGAGAGGTGATAATGATAACTGCTCAGTCTCTCATCATTCAGGTCGTTAGTCTTATTTCTAATCCTCGAACCTTCGCTGTGCTGCAGGACAGTTTGTTCTGAAGTGAAAACTGCGACAGCGCTCGTCCTCAGAACCACAACTGACTCTTCCTGGACAAAGAGTTGATTCATTATTGAGAAAACGACTTTAGATATCTGATTATTATTCACCGACACTCTTATCTGCACCGACACGAGGAAATCCACAAACTTCATCGAAGGCGCCAAACACACGGTGCAGCTTTTCAAAACCACTTCCTGTCAGTGACGGCCAAACCTTAACTTGATTAGAGGGATAACCATCAGCTCAGGAGCATTAGTGCGATATGGTAAAGCAGTGACCTCACACACACACACACACACACACACACACACACACACACACACACACACACACACACACTTAGCGAGTAGCAGTAAAACTAAGCTCAGCATGGGCAGCTGCCAAGGCCAATCAAAGCCCTCTGTACATCCTGTGCACAGCTGTCTGCTCCAATCAGAGCTGCACGTGTGTCAGCAGTTTAAAAAGGAACTGTGTGTGAAAACAGCCAGTGTCCTCGTTTTGGCGGCGTGCATCTTCTTGTCAGCGGAGAGGCGGGATCACATTTGTGCGACTTCAAAGTCAGATTGAGGATGAAGAGCGGCGAGGCCGATAACTCATGATGATGTGAGAACATCCTCCCAGCAGCAGCACAAGTGTGGGATCAATCTAAATATGTTGGAGATGAAATCAAACCCAGCTGCTCGCTCTTAATTATGATGGGAATAAACCCGCCTCTACCTCCTCCTCCTCGCTCTTCCTCCATGATCCCTTTAATGACAGGTTAGTCCACTCACCCTCCCAGCAGGCGGCGGCGGCGGCGGCAGCGAAGCAGCCTGGAACTCCCACTATTTCACCCGCCATTACAATCTCTAATAAGCCATCAAAGTCCTATCAGCGCACACGCAGACCCGGGCGGACTCAGGTGACCCCGGGTGACCTCTGCGCAGGTCAGTTCCTGTGCACAGGGGCGCCTCGGGGGCCTGCGCCGAGCCAAAGGTCACGAACAGGGGGGGCGGTGGGAAAGAGGTTCAGGAAAGATGGAAGTTGTCACCTCCAAACGTCCGAGTGAGTCCGGATAATCTCAGGATCACTGAGGTGTTAGTGTTCTCCAGAGTCGACAGAGTCGCCCTGTTTCCACACAGAGTGTGTTTCTGTGCCGAGGTCAGCTGGTGACAGCTGAACGCTCGCAATCTGAACACCTCCGCCAGCCAGCGCTTCACATACCGAGTGAAAAGGCTGATTCATGCATTCATCCTGCTCGCCAAATGATTCACAGCTCGCACACGCGCACACACACACACACACACACACACACACACACACACACACACGCTACACAAACACATTTGGACCCCAAGCAGGGGCTGAAAGCTCCGAACACAATCACCTTTTCTTCTTTGTTGGACGGCAGGAAAAACAGCGCTGCGACACAGCGGCTTCTCTGCCCATGTGGAAAGACTCATGGGAGATTATCGCGGCGTTGGCGAACAAGGGCCCAGCTGTTGAACAGGAAGTCACCTCCGGCATGGCCCTGCGCCGCCGCGAGACGTCCTCCTCTCTGCTCGGGTTAAGGAGGAAAGTAAAGACTGACAGCGATACAACAAAGTCTGAATGAAGCTGTCGGCGTGGAGAGAGAGAGAGACGTTAGATAAATAAGATCGTCCACTCCGAGAGAAGAAAGGAGGACTGTTCCTATAGAGGTCAAAGGTCAACATATCCTAAAATAGATCAGCTCACAGTGTGTCCTGATTAGATTAACCTTTATTGTAGAGCGTTTGTGTCATGTCTGTGTCTCTGAAACGTTGTTGTTGAATCTCCTAAAACACTAAAGTGAATTAATTAGAATTATCTGGTATTATAGTGTTTAGACTGTGAGGTTTATTATCATTTCTACATTATATCTTATTGTGTTAGCTCTCTTATGTTGGATTATATCAGATTATATCATAATATATTGGATTATATCATATCGTAATGAAATACTTCATACCTCATATTATTTTAGTGAATTACATCCTGATCAATCTTAGAGAGGGAGACTGAATCATGTTGGATTTTATTCAATGACATGATATTAATAATAATAATAATAATAATAATAATAATCCATCACATCCTTCTGTCTATCCTATAACAGTGGTTCTCAACTGGTGGGTCCCGACCCAAAAGTGGGTCACAGACACGTTCTGGATGGGTCGTGAACAGCTGGTCGAAAAAGTAAATATTTAATTCGGATCTGATGTTTGACATGTCTTTTATTTTGAAAAATAGCTTTTATTTTGAAGGGCATGTGTTATGTCCTGGTCCTCCTCAGTTTCTTATTAATTTGGCCTGAATGCAGTAAAATTACATGGTTTTTTTTTGGTATTTATTTTGTTTAATTTGATATTTTCTGTATAAGGAACTTCAGTCGTTGTCGTCCTCAGTTCATCTGCTCTGAAATACACTTTACTCAGGAAAAACATATTAATGTTAAAGGTTTTTTTTAATAATAAATAAATTTTCTTGGTTTGAATTTTATAAAAGTGGGTCACGACTGAAGGACCATGAGAAAATGTGGGTCCCACAGTGAGACCAGTTGAGGACCACTGTCCTATAACTCACTATCATACAGAACCATAAACCGTATTTTCTCCTCCTGTCTCCCTGTTTGTCCCTTTGGCTTCTGTGGACCAGACTGAGGTGGGTTTGACTGAACCTGAACCTGGTTTAGCTAATCTGTATAACTGAGAACATGGAGGGACCGTCCCACAGCTGCAGGTCGGCGCTGCTTCGGTCTACAGAATCACAGGCGTAGAATTATTAATGCAACCACTTCTCGCTTACGTACGTGATTGGCTGTCCCCGCTGTCACTACATCTGCCTGTAAAAGTTACCTGCTAGTTGGACGGGACAGTGAACGTTACCCGCAACCACAAAGTCTAAGTTGTCAACATGTTTGGTTTATTGTGTCTGGGTCACGTACGCTTCAGATTTTAATATCAGCGGTGTCGTTCACATTTACATTTGTGTTTGTGTGTGTGTGTGTGTGTGTGTGTGTGTGTGTGTGTCTGCACGTGCTCCACATGACGTAAAATCATGACTGCAAATGCAAAAAAAACAAACGTTCAGGAGGACAACTCTGTGTCCCCCCCAGTGTCAAAACCAAACCCTCTCTCTTGTTCAGAACGACCGTGTGACGGAGCGACCGCACAGAAATGTTCAAAACAATCTCCCCATGATGACATTTACGGGTAAGATTGCGCCGCAGTGTGAGCACAGCTGATCTTTCCCGCCTCTTTTGACGTCTGCAGCTTTGATGGAGACTCAGATGTTCCGCCTACGCAGAGAGAGAGAGAGGACAGAGGCGCTCAGAGAAAACACGGACGCTCTGCCAGAGAGAGACACAGTCAGCGGCTCAGTCATTAGCATTGCAGATGTTAGCGATAGGAAGTGTGAATGGCCTCATGCATACAGCATGAATCCCGGCATTGTCCCAGGACTGCGCAGTAGTCCTACTGTACCGCGGCGCTGGAGTGTGGGAGGGTCCGAGTGTGGGGCAGCGGTCAGAACCCACGGTGGGATCCAAGGCTTTCCTCTTATCACAGCCAAATGTCAGAGTGAGGATGAAGCGGAGCGGAAACAGAATAAAGCATAACAGGAATATTTCTGAGGCTGAGTCAGCCGCATACTTCACATTCACAGGAAGACCGTCCCAGAACTACAGCTGATCCCACAGAAACAGACCCAAAACTGTCCTCAGGTTCTGGTTCAGACCCCAGAACTACAGCTGATCCCACAGAAACAAACCCAGAACTGTCCTCCAGGTTCCGGTTCAGATCCCAGAACTACAGCTAATGCAATAAAAACACAGAGAGAAACCCAAAACTGTCCTCAGGTTCTGGTTCAGACCCCAGAACTACAGCTGATCCCACAGAAACAAACCCAGAACTGTCCTCCAGGTTCTGGTTCAGACCCCAGAACTACAGCTGATCCCACAGAAACAAACCCAGAACTGTCCTCAGGTTCTGGTTCAGACCCCAGAACTACAGCTGATCCCACAGAAACAAACCCAGAACTATCCTCAGGTTCTGGTTCTGTTATCAAAATTGATCCAACTAACAGACTAAAGACTCAAACTAAAAACAACTCAAAGGTAAGACGGACCAGAGTTTAACCCTGAGCAGAACTTTTATCTACACAGGCCCAGAATCACCGACCCGGGGCGCTCTTTAAATTCTGACCCAGAACCAGAATCTAGATTCACCAAATTTGATTTCAGGTTTTTGTTTTTGTGTTTCAGTCAGTCAACAGAGTCAGGACCGCTGCAGGTATTATGGGATACAACCAAGACCTCAACAGAGTTGGACGGTATGAACAAAATCTTATATCACAATAACCTTATATATCACAGTATGTTTTTTCTCCTGTAAATTTAATCAATGGTTTAAAAATAACCGTCAGTACAGCAACATTTCTACTGTAGACACTTTTATACCGCCACAATAAACATGTTCAAATGTGGATCTAAACTCTGATGGTGGACCTGGACCTGGTCTGTGGCTCCATTATACTTCTAAAAACCGCCCCTTTGGACCACAGAACAGCTCTCTGTACTGACCGGGTTCTAACAGGTCTGTCTCTGCTCTGAACCTGGACTCCTGGTATCAGATCCTCCTGGACTCGTCTAGTTTTGGTGCCTCATGCAGACTCTGGAGGAACCTCAGTATTTTGGCGGACAGACCGAGACCCTAACTTGTAAAGGGTCTAGACTGGACCCCGGGGTTCTGTACCACCCGTGAAGACCTGTAACCTGAACCGGCTGCTGCAGGATCTTCTGACTCTGGAGAAGGTCCAGAACCACCATCTCTAAGGTCTTCACTCCCTTTAGGTCCAGATCAGACATCAATAATGTTACTTTACAAGTTCAGACTCTGATGGTTTCCACCGTCAATCATCTGTAGAGCTTCATCTCCATGACGATGACGTCTGATCAGCAGGTAAAGGTGAAGGAGATTCCCTCCAACCCTCTGTAGTCTGATCTCCTCTAACTTCTGTGGTCCCTCATCCAGCCTGATCTAATGTTAGCTCTGCCCCCCCCCTCAGTCCTGACCCTCATTAACAGACCGCCTCTCCTCGCTGCACGCTCCGTCAGCTCTGTTTGAAGTACGTGTGCGTCACTGTCGCCTTCGCCTCGCTGACAGATGACCCCGCGACCTTGTCCTTCAGAGGATCGATCCGTACGAGGGCTCAAAGCTGCCATCATCAAACACATCTGATCCTGCTCACAGCTGGAGCTGATCGATCCGAGGAGGGGGCGTGGCAGATGATTAGCATTAAACATGTCTATTGATCAGGAGTGTTTGAGCCGAGTATTAGCGAGTGTTTAATCTATAGACACACAGTCAACACCATTGATCACATGACAGAGGAGGAGAGGTTAGAATCAGAGCCAATCAGGGATTTTTTTACTCCAATATCAGAGAAATTAAGAGTTTTAGGTCTGAACCAGAACCCTGAATTTTCACCGTGTCTGGAACAGCTGCGAGTTTTGCCGTCTGCCAATTCCCACCGGATCGTAAGAACTCACAAGAACACGCAGATTCACGTTCAATCGTGCGATAACGAGTTGTCTCTCTAAAGACAGACACATAGACATATAAGCAGTAGATTGTGTCCTTCCAGAGGAGGAAATCTACTTCTAGACTTCTAGAATCAGCATCTCCTCATCCATGGTGTCATCGGGGTGAAATGACGTCTAAAAACCTTTCACTTGTTCGTCTCCGCCCGTTTTATTTTGAAAAGAAGCCGGATGTTTTATTTTGTGTCTGTGCCCGACTTCCTTTCCAGCACGGGTTAATCTGTGCTGAATTTATCCGCCATGCTCCGGCGTCCAGAAAGAAGTCGGTGTAAATTGACACGTTATCTTGAACGGTTACGATCAGCTACGATCGGAGGATACGACCTTTTCGTTGCATTTGGAGTGAGACCATGATCTTTAAAAACTGCGGTCATGTGCGGCTGAATCTGCTCCGACCATCTTTCTTGTTTTCTACCTTTCTCAGCGCTCAGACCGTCCTGAATAGAAGCCGCATTCAGGACTAAATTTGGCGCAGAAAAACCTCGAATAACAGTGAAAGAAATACGCAGTAAAAACCGTCAGACGTTATTCCTGTAATTCATCAGACGACGGAGGATATGAGCCGTGATAACTCAGAGTGTGTTTTTCTAACTCTGGGTTCAGTCTGAGTGTGTGTCGCTGCAGTGACAGTAAAAATGTCATCTCCGCCTTTAAGAGCGGCTCACTCAGACTCTCTTCTAACATCAGTTCACCTCAAATATGCCGTCCTCTCTGGGAGGACGCTCGCTCCCTCGCTCGCTCGCTCCGGCTGCATAACTTGAGGTAAAGGCGAGTGGACTTTCCGTACTCACACAGCATGGAAGCAGATTCGCCCTCGCCGTCTCACGGCAATCTGTCAGGGAGCCACAAGCGGCACGCTGACACACCAACACAGGCGCTCCATTCTCCTCAAACGTTTCTCAACCTCGATGAGTCACAGAGTAACTGGCACCGCTTGAAACGAGCACGTCGGCCCTTTGGTTCCCTGTGGCCGGGGCTGAGGGGATAATAAGAGAGCTGGTAGGAACCAGGGTCCTTTCTGAGCCTAACCTCCTCAGAGACAGAACTATTATCAGCCTGCTGTTTAAGGCGGATTACACGCTGCAATTAAAGGAGGCATCGGCAGGGAACCGCTGCAGCCGGCCCAGGGCAAGGCTTTGGAGGAGAACAGGACAGAAACCAGCAGAGTGTCCTGGTGGAAGGGTTGACTCATGAGCGTATGCTAAACATGGGTGGAGAAGCATAAACAGAGGAATATATTCATATACTACAACAGGGAAAAAAACCCAGGAGAAAATGTTCCTACACATTTTATACGCAGGAGTGAGCAGACAGAGTCCTGAGTCAGAGCAGAGGTATGTCCCTGCTGACTCCTGAAACCTGAAAAACCCATAAAACCCAGAAAACGGAGTAAAGGTCTGCAGCTTTTCAGGGAAACTAACCGCTGATCAATCATCTTATTACCTCTGATCGGAGAAATCAACACCTGAGGTCATTAGATAGGAGGAGCATATTTATTTGTGGAGTATTTACAAAACATCTTCTAATATCAGTCAATAGTTATTAGTTATTGATTATTTGGTAATATATCGATATCTCTGTGTTCTCTTCTGTCTGTGTCGTCAACATTTGAACATTTTTGAGCGGTCCGCTCTTTCTGACTGTAAACAAAGCCGTTCTCCACCTCCTCTAACCTGATTGGTTGTGAGGCAGACGCTGCTCCCCCGTGTCGTTCAGGAGCCCAAACAAAGTTAGCGTGCTACAATATCGGACAGTAGAAACCAACCAGAAAGTTCGGAAAATTGTCGGAATCCTCCTTTGGCCACGACTGCCGACACAAGCAAGAAAACACTCAAACATAAACAGTCAGCAAGAAAACAGTCAACACCAAACCAGTCAACAGGAAAACGGTCAACACCAAAACAGTCAACAAAAAACAGTCAGCAAGAAAACAGTCAACAAGATAACAGTCAACAAGATAACAGTCAACAAGAAAACAGTCAACAAGAAAACAGTCAACAAGATAATAGTCAACAAGAAAACAGTCAGCAAGAAAACAGTCAACAAGAAAACAGTCAACAAGAAAACAGTCAGCAAGAAAACAGTCAGCAAGAAAACAGTCAACAAGAAAACAGTCAACAAGAAAACAGTCAACAAGAAAACAGTCAGCAAGAAAACGTCAACCATAATCAGTCAACAAGAAAACAGTCAACAAGAAAACAGTCAGCAAGAAAACGTCAACTATAATCAGTCAACAAGAAAACAGTCAACAAGAAAACAGTCAGCAAGAAAACAGTCAACAAGAAAACAGTCAACAAGATAATAGTCAACAAGAAAACAGTCAGCAAGAAAACAGTCAACAAGAAAACAGTCAACAAGAAAACAGTCAGCAAGAAAACAGTCAGCAAGAAAACAGTCAACAAGAAAACAGTCAACAAGAAAACAGTCAACAAGATAATAGTCAACAAGAAAACAGTCAACAAGAAAACAGTCAGCAAGAAAACAGTCAACAAGAAAACAGTCAGCAAGAAAACGTCAACCATAATCAATCAACAAGAAAACAGTCAACAAGAAAACAGTCAGCAAGAAAACAGTCAACAGGAAAACAGTCAGCAAGAAAACTGTCAGCAGGAAAACAGTCAACAAGATAACAGTCAACCACATTCAACAAGAAAACAGTCAACAAGAAAACAGTCAACCACAAACAGTCAGCAAGAAAACAGTCAGCAAGAAAACACTCAAACATAAACAGTCAACAAGAAAACAGTCAACACCAAACCAGTCAACAGGAAAATGGTCAACAAAAAACAGTCAGCAAGAAAACAATCAACACGAAAACAATCAACAAGAAAACAGTCAGCAAGAAAATGCTGCTCCCCCGTGTCGTTCAGGAGCCCAAACAAAGTTAGCGTGCTACAATATCGGACAGTAGAAACCAACCAGAAAGTTCGGAAAATTGTCTGAATCCTCCTTTGGCCACGACTGCCGACACAAGCAAGAAAACAAAGTAAATACCGGAGACTCTGGAGGAATAACGGGCGCTTAAAACGGAGGTAGACCGGACAAGAGCTAAAAAGCCGGGTCAACATAAACCATGGGGGACGCTTGGGGATCTTGGTGACCCTGTAACCTTTCTGCTGGACAGGTAAACTGCTTTTGTAATGATCTGAAGTATTTATCTGCATTATATCTGAATTTAATCGGAACGATACGAGCGAGCAGGAGCGTCTGTTTGTGGGCGGGGCTTGAGGGGAGAGGAGGAGCTGAGGGGAAAACTGGTTGGGAGGGGTCGAGTTTACATTCAAGATTTCTCCTAAAAACTGGAACTAACTCAGATCCTCCAGCTTTTCAGGGAAACCAGCTGCTGATCAATCATCTTATTATCTCTGATCGGAGAAATCGACACCTGAAGGAGCATACCTGTTAACACTCAAATGACCTACTTATGCAGACCACACGTGCACGCGTGTGCACGCCGTACGATTAGCAAACAAAAGTCACAGTTCATCTGTTCGTCAGCAGATGACAGCTGGATCAAAACCAAGTCGATAGCAAATGAATAAATGAATAAACAAATGTGTAAATGAAGAAGCAAACAGACAAGTGAATGCATAATTGTGAAAGGCCTTCTGTGCGCTCCTCCTCCTCCTCCTCCTCCTCCTCGCTGCACAGACGTGGGAGTGTGTGTGGGTGTGTGTGTGTGTGTGTGTGTGGCACTGACATGAGGCCAACGGGGAAATCAGTGGAGACGCTCTAAATGCCTTAATGCAGTCAAATTGTTTTCAGATTCTCTATTGATGGACAGTTTCCTTTCAAGCGTTTAACCACCTCTACACACACACACACACACACACACACACTCACACACACGCTCATCTGCAGCAGCGGTCAGTCGCCCTAAGTCTGGACATCGTTACATCGCTCTTTACTCGACCTTTACCCTCTGACCTGTGATCCTGAAGTGCCGTTGCATCGTGATCCGCCGAGGTGGGCAGGATGGAGGACTAATCTGAGACAGGAAGTCACAGGCGGAAGAGACGGCGAAGGCTTAGTGGAGGCTGATTGATATACGCCCAAATAAAGTCGTGGAGATCAAAGATCGGCGTGAAGAAAACCTTCATATCTGCGTCTGTGTCCTCCTCACGGCCCGGCAGAACCAGAAGTCCGGAGGTGTGAGGGAGACTTGAATCACCAGAGGGATCCGGTTTCTGCCCAAACTTGTGCTTCACACCTGATCAGTTAGAGGAGGGGGGGGCGATGAAGTCCAGGGGGAGACAAACGGGACGAGAAAGAGAGGAGAGAGGAGAGAGGAGCTGATCCTGGACTGAGCTGGAGCTTCTGATTCTGGACCTGATCTGATCTAACGACCAAGAGACCGGCAGAGAGAGACCCAGATGAGCAGACCGGGAACACTTTACAACAACCAGAACTTATAAACGGTAAATAGATAGTTTATTCATGTTTATTCATCATTTATAAACAGCATATAGACCATTAAATAAATTGTTAATGTAACAGTTTTAAAAACCCTAACTTTACAATAACTAAATAATGTTTATAGATGATTTAAAAACCAAATATTAATCATTTACAAAGTGCTGCTGAAACACATTTTGATCTAGATGTTTTACAGACAATATTTAAACCCTTTATAAACCTTTAATAAATAGTCCTTTAATAATTAATGAAAATTATCAATCATAATTTTATTGCTTGTTAATGGTGAAGTAACTATTAACTTTCATTAATAAACTATCGATTTGTCATTAATAATTGGTCTATATGCTGTTTTTAAATGATGATTAAACATGAATAAACTATATTTACCATTTATAATTGATGGTTATTGTAAAGTGTTACCTGTCTGTGTGTCTGTTACCTGATGATGTCATCAAAGGTGTGTGCGTGTGTGTGCGTGTGTGTGTGTGTGTGTGTGTGTGTGTGTATGTGTGTTCACCTTTTCCTGAAACACCTGCTCGACAGTTTTGTTCTTCTCATCGTTCCTTCAGCCAAAAACTGAAAACTTGTGTTTCCCAGACCCAGGAGGACTGAGGGACTGAGGGACTGAGGGACTGAGGGACATGTCCAGACGTGTGTCAGGGTTTAGGGTGACAGAGGGGGGGAGAACCTGGGGGTGGATGAGGGGTGAGTATGGGGGGTGAGTATGGGGGCTGACAGATGCAAAAACAGAGGACAGAGTCCTTAAATGAACTCATGAGGGCTGAAGAGTCTGCAGGGTTGGACAAGAGACAAAAACTGCAGATCCTCAAGAGTCCACATGAGACCGGCTTATAAGGTCCAGGAAGTCCCTAAACAAAGAGAGTCTGTGGGATCTGAAAGGACGAGGTTTAAAACCAGGACTGATGTAAAACCAAAAACCTGCTCTGGAGTGGAACTCACCACATGGATCTAAAATACACTCAGAATCACAGACGCAGCTGAAAACTGATCCATGACAGAGGAGACCAGATCCAGAGGTACTAGAGAGAGACCAGAGTCCGTTAAAGATGGACTGAGCTGAACTTAAAACTGTTCTGTGGTCTGACCCGTCATCCTGGATCCTGGATCTTCTGCTCTGAAGAGAAGGCTGGACTGGTCTACTGGACTGGTCTACTGGACCAGTCTACTGGACTGGTCTACTGGACTGGTCTGAACCCTGAACTTTGTAGCTGCTGATGTTTGTGTGTTTGTGTCGTTCATGAACGATTCATTCAAAAGAACTGAACTGCTGAGTGAACAACTGAATCACTCTGAGACCTGATCCGTTCTTCTCTCAGTTCAGTTGAGCTCAGCGTGGCGTGTCGGTCAGGAACTGATCAGTCAGACTGAGCGAAACGAACGACTTCTGAACGACCTGAGACAGGCCGAGGAGGGAGGGGCGTAGAGTCGTTCATCTGTCATTATGGCGCCTTTACATTAAAACACGTGTTTAAACTTTCCTGTAAGAAGATTTAATCTCAGCCAATTTAAAGAAATAAGATATTTGATATCTTTAAATGAGAATCTCCACTACAGCTGACATCTTTATTTTTAATCTCTACACTTTTCTGCCAAACAAAAGAACGATGACAGTTCTGTTTAAACTCAATCTGTTGGTTTGCAGGGATGAACAACATCTTAAAACATCTGCAGAGACACGAGTTAGAGACTAAACCAGGACTGACTTGATGTAGTGATCCCAAATATGAAAAATGTCTCATCTTACCCCAGTCTCCCCTACTGTATATTCAGTATGTAGGTCATTCTCTCAGACGTACTGGGATCCACTATGTCCACTCCACTGAACTCTCAGTGACGAGTCTAAACTCGCCGTCGGCACATTCCTGATTATCACTTTTATATCGTTTCATTCCGATCAGCTGACGACACCCTCAGGTTCATGTTGGTTCTGGTCGCTGACTCACGCTGACTGAGTCATAATCAAACAGTTATAAAACAGCTGAACACCTGTACCTGTGTAAACAGACATGACCTGTTTACGATCACTAATGAAGCTCTTTATGTGATCACGATTAACATTAACGTCCGGTCTGTCCTGGACCCTCACCTGATCCAGGTGTTCACTCAGAACCGGTCCTGACTCAGCAGGTTCTGATACCATTGTGTCCTATTTTTGAGTTTTAGTTTTTCCAAGTTCTGGTTATAAACACGAGGATTTTGGCAACACACTTCTCTATGAGAGGGTTTTCCAAGAACAGTAACATCCTATGACCCAGGAAACACACACACACACACACACACACACACACACACACACACACACACACACACACACACACACACACACACACACACACACACACACACTCAGCAACATCTGCGTGTGATGAAGTGGTCAGCGCTCCAGTAAAACTGGATGAGGCTTTAAAGACATTCCTCCACTTTACAGCGAGGTGAGAGAGAGAGAGTAATGAGGAGGCCAACAGCTCGAGTGTCATCGCCACCACCGCCGCAGCGCCTCCTTGATCCCTATCTGAGCTTTTCAGCACGCCAAACAAACAAACAACAAGAGGACAAACAATGTGGAGGTAATTGACATTCCTGATGAGGTGGAACACAAACCCCCGAGGACTCACCCGATTGGACGGATGTTTGTTTGGGTGTTTGAGCTCGCTTAGTCCAGAATCTCACATATCAGCCATTTCGAGGATCACCGGGTTCTCAGTATTCAGACTCAGATGGAGGACCTGGACTTTGCTGCAGTGAAGGAGATAAGTTCATGTGGTCTACGTCACCATCATCCAGGTTTGGGACCTGAACCAGAACCGATGTGTCAGTATCTCTGACTGTAAGGGGTGGGAATTACTATTGGCCCCATGATACCATATTATCACGATACTTGGGCCACGATACAATATTATGAAAATACGATATTATCATGATACAATATTATCACAATATGATATTATCATGATACTTGGGCCAAGATACAATATTATCATGATATTATTATGATACAATTTTATCATAGTACAATATTATTGCGATTTGTAACATTTACCAATACAGTGATTATTGCAATACCATGTATTGTGATTTATACAATTGTTTTCACTGTTAATTCAGCATTGGTCTTTACTTTATGTTTGTCTTATTTACACAGTTTTTTATTTTTCATGTATCACATTTTGCAAACCTTATATATATTTATTGTACTAACTTTCTCCTGCTCTATGATGTCACCTCTGCCAACCTCACTGGACAAACTGTTGATTTTATTTTTTCATCATCACAGATTTGACTTAATATTAGCGATAAATTTGAAGAATCGGTACTTGATACATAAGACGATATGATATGTCACCAGACAAAATATTGCGATACTTTGTTGTATCGTTTTTTTCTCCCACCCTTACTGACTGAAGATACAGATGAACATTCAAACAAAGATATGTAACAGACGTCACAGCGGTAAAGACGACAAACTGCAAAAGTTAAATGTCGAACAGCGCCCCCTACTGTTCAACAACAGGTGTATCTATTCAATAGAGATGATAGAAATCTGACTCCATTAATAAACCTCTCATTGCTGCCGCCCTGGTGGTGAAGGGACCACATGACACCCAGACTCAGGAACCCAGCAGATACTATCTGACATGGCCCGAGATAAAAACTGAACATCAGGGTCAGCAATGTGAAGTTTTTATGCAGAGGTGAAGCTCTTTCTAGAAACATCAGGTAAAAACTGAATCTCTGACTGAACTGGACTCCAACATGTCAGTACCTGTGTAAGTATACTGGCTTCAATGATGAACAGTGGATGGGGATGGAGGTGTGCTGTTCATGTTTATATACAGACAACATTAACAGCTGTTATTAAAGTTAAATCAGAACAATCATGGTGTTTAAATCTAACTCCACGGTCGACTCTGAGACTTGACTCAGTCCGTTTGGACGATGAACTTTCAGACAAAGGACGAGGAGTTGTTTTACCACGCAGCGTCATTTAGACTCTCGGTTTTAAAGTCTAATTAAAACAGTAAACGATCTCATCGACTTGTACCTGTGCATCCTAAACATGACCCCAGAGTATTGATTATAACCGGTCAATGAAACAGCTGTCAGCGATCGGTCAGATCTGCAGAAGCTCAGAGACTAAAACAGGAATAAAGGAAAGTCCTGACAGACGTGGAGACCGGCTGACGGACAGACTGACAGCTCTCCGCTGCGCCACATTCCTCCTGTGTTGAGTCACGTCACGCCGCACTTCACACGGCGCTTTCTCAGCAGACTCGCAGTGACTGGGTAATCTGGAGTGTCACACACCCTGCTCCAATCCCGGGCCAAGTTATCCAAACAGCGCTGGCGAGCAGGGGGAGGAAATTGAATTTCCCCCCTCAAAGACAGGCCTCCAAATCCCCATCAACAGGAGCTTAGAGAGCCTGCAGTCCATCAAGTTTCATCTGCCACGGTGGTCCGGCCAATCAGGTTCCTCCTTTTTTTGACCAACAATGCGCCGGCATGCATGATTGCACACGCAAACATGTCAGGCTGCATGCAGAAAAACTGTCCCTCACACGTGCACTCAGGCACTAACAATAGCTCACATGCACAAACAGATAAATACACACACAATCAAGGAAATGCAAACACACACACACACACACACACACAATCCTCCTCTTAGTGCCCGCCTTAGCATCAACAATCAACAATCTGAGGCATTGTGGAGCCTGTGATCCTGTGACCTTTAACCTCTGGAGTTAACCCCAGAGCAGCCAGTGCTGAGAGGTGAAGCAGGCGGATCATTGAAAGGCGGCGAAGTTCCCATGAGAACGAGGACGAGGGGAAACTCAGAGACCCAAGATGATGAGGATGAGGATGATGGTGACAGAGGGTCGGAAGTGGACGTCAGTGTTCGACATGTTTGCTGTGTGGATGTTGGGAGAGTAACCCCTGATTTCCACCGCATCCCGAAAAGCGGCGAAAAGGTCGTATCCTCCGATCGTAGCTGATCGTAACCATTCAAGTTAACGTGTCAATTTACACCGACTTCTTTCCGTTCCTCTGCGGATCGCCGGACTCCTCAGCTGATCGCAAGAGTTCTATTTTTTCTGGACGCCGGAGCATGGCGGATAAATTCAGCACAGATTAACCCGTGCTGGAAAGGAAGTCCAGGAAGTCCAGTCCAACGAACAAGTGAAAGGTTTTTAGACGTCATTTCACCCCGATGACACCATGGATGAGGAGATGCTGATTCTAGAAGTCTAGAAGTAGATTTCCTCCTCTGGAAGGACACAATCTACTGCTTATATGTCTATGTGTCTGTCTTTAGAGAGACAACTCGTTATCGCGCGATTGAACGTGGATCTGCAGGTTCTTGTGAGTTCTCGCGATTCCCGCTGACCGTAATCCGCCACGAAATTCGGCTCACAAACAGATCCGGTAGGAATTGGTGGACCGCGAAAATCGCCGCCGTTCTGGAAGTGTCACCTCCAAAGACGCAGCAGTAAAGGTGAAGTTTCTGATTTATCCGGTCAGTTACGAAGAAGTGTGACAGAATAAAAAAAGACGCTCTGATAGTTTCATATAAACTAAATTTAAACAAAGCGTCTCCTGATGTAACCCAAGAGGAAAACCCACCCAAACTCCCTGATCCTGATTTAACCCCTCCTTCAGGACTGACAGTCTAACACACAACAGCTGCTCCACACCAGCACCACCTACTCTGAGCTCCATCCCAGCTGCAACACCTCTCTCTGGGTATCCAGGTCAGCGGCCTCTGTCCCCCCTCTAAGAGCCCAGGGTCTGGCATTTAAGGGACCAAAATACCCTCTCAGTAAATGGAAACAGGTCATGAGGTAACGCTGAAGATCCTGCAGAGTGGTGACGGACGAGGACTGGAGGGTTTTAGACTGAGGGGGAACGGCTGGACGTCAGGGTTAGAGAAACTCTTCCTCCATCTTTGAAACCAAAATCATGATTCCCAGTTAATGTTGGAGCAAATATATGTATATATTATTTAAAACAGAAGGTTTGACCGTGAAGGTGTCACCTGGTCAGTTTTGATGTTTTAGGATTTTCTTGGTCTCCTGAGGTGAAGATGAAACGTCTTTGGTCGAGATATAAAAGCATCAAATACCAGAGGAGGATTTGCAACCATATTAAGACCGGTGTGGTCTCTTTAAATGCTAATCAGCTCCTTCTGACTCCGCCCACTTTACCTTACAGGGTGTTCCTGCTGTGAGGAAAAGAATGGCAGACTTAACTAAAGTCAGAAGTCAGAAGTCGGAGCTGAAAATGACGTCATACCAGAGTCATCAGCGTCTCAATAACAAAGTCGGAAAAAAGCAAAATCAGAGGGAAACAAAATGGCTACATCTACGAAAGTTATTTCAGCGTCCGAATATAAGGCAACAGGAAAACTTGGTAACTGAAACGCTGGGAACACGGGTGTGACGTCATTTTCAGCTCCAACATCTGACTTCATGAGCCCTGGAGGCGTGGCTTTAAGGGCGAGGGTGGAGCTACCAGTTAAGGGGGCGGAGATTATTACGATAACCCTCCATGAATCAGACTGTGTCGGACACAGAGGGACCACCAACAGAGAACTGGTTTCACATGTTGTGGGTCAGAACTCCAGATACTGAAGAGGAATAATATCCTAGTGTCAGGCCTTCAAAATAAGAGTCTGATTAGCTGCTCCTCTAACACAGATGTTAATAAAGCAGATTCTGGACTGATCTGGTTTGGGCTTCACTAACATGACGGTAAACTTCACCTCACTTTCTCTCTGTTTTTTTCAGTCATGTAGGAAATGAGAGGATGAGTAATCAGCAGCAGCCCTCCAGCTCCTCTTAAAGCTCGTCTCACTTTGATTTAACGCCGTCTTATCTCCACGTTCGTGTGATTAATTTTACGCAGACTAATCTGTTGCTTCGAGCCATGAAAACTACAGGGAGGTAAAGCAGAATAATTTATGAATCACTTAAAGTGAGAGTGCTGCCTGTGATTCAGCACATCCAGGAAACTCAGGTCTGTAATTATATGGTATACGCCTGTAAAGTCTGTGAGGGCCGTAAAGCACTTTCAAAATAAGAGGGTCATAAAGAAGAGCTAATGGAGCGAAGATAAAAAGGAGAGTTTGTTTTTGACCTTTTTAACAGCTGCTCTACTTAAAACCAACCCTGACTGAGTGAAAACAAGCACTTTCAAAATAAGAGTCCAACCCAGTGCAAACCAGCGCTTTCAAAATAAGGGTCCAGCCAAGCACACGTAAGCACTTTGAAATAAGAGTCCAACTGAGAGCAAACAAGCACTTTTAAAATTAGAGTATGGCTGTGTGAAAACGAGGACTATCAAAATAAGAGTCCAGCCTAGTGCCAAAGACCACTTTCAAAATAAGAGACTAGCTGACTGTGAACAAGCACTTTCAAAATCAGATTCCAGCTGAGTGCAAATAAGCGCTTTCAAAATAAGAGTCCAGCTGTGTGAAAATTAGCACTATCAAAATGAGAGTCCAACCAGGTGCAAACAGGCATTTTCACAATAAAAGACGAGCCGGGTACAAATTAGCATTTTCAAAATAAGAGTCTCGCCAAGTGCAAACCAGCACTTTTAAAATAAGAGTCCATTTGAGAGCAAAAGAGCACTTTCAAAATAAGAGTCCAGTTAAGTGCAAAAGAGCACTATCAAAATAAGAGTCCAGTCGAGGGCAGACAGCACTTTCAAAATAAGATTCCAGCTGAGTGCAAATGATGCTTTCAAAATAAGAGTCCAGCCCAAGGCAAACTAGCACTTTCAAAATAAAAGCCTCGCAGAGTGCAAACCAGCACTTTCAAAATAAGAGTCGAGCCTAGTGTAATTGAGCACTTTCAAAATAACAGTCCAGATGAGTAACATTTTCTGCTGTTTGTTTGGGAAACCATTTCTCTGATGCGTCTGTGTTGCTTTTCTCTCTCTCTCTCTCTCTCCCTCACACACACACACACACACACACACACACACACACACACACACACACACACACACACACACACACACAGACCACTTTAGCCCCCTGTAAACTACACAACCACATCAACACCTCACAGAGTCATGACAGAGCAAACACCGGCTGGTCTAAGTGAAGCACACGCTTACAAACACTGCAGACTCATAAAGGTCTCATGTGGGACACAAGGCCTCACCTTAGATCATGTGTTACACACACACACACATTCATACACACACACATATTCATACACACACACACACACACACACACTTTCCAACAGTTGTCCACATCCTGTGAGGCGGTGCTACACAACCTCTGAACAATGTATCCTTTAGATAAAGATCTGATGACTGTGTGTGTGCATGTGTGTGCATGTGCATGTGTGTGTATGTGTGTGTGTTTGTGTGTGCGTGATGCTGGCTATAATCGCCAGTATTCATGCTGCACCGGGCTCCCAGCGTTTCTACAGCTGTCGCCTCTTGTACTCACTGACCTCCACCAACAGGTCCTGAGGCCATGGAGCCTTATGGCCGACTCTCAGACCCTCCACTGTAGGAGCAGATCTGCTGCTGCAGGGACACCAAGGAGAGAGGAGAGAGGAGAGAGGAGCGAGGAGAGAGGAGAGAGGAGAGAGGAGACAGGAGCGAGGAACGAGGAGAGAGGAGCGAGGAGAGAGGAGAGAGGAGACAGGAGACAGGAGAGAGGAGAGAGGAGCGAGGAGAGAGGAGAGAGGAGAGATGAGAGAGGAGAGAGGAGAGAGGAGCAGCTCTCCACTAAACTGAGAGGACCAGGACTGAAGTCAGAGCCCTGACACCAGATCCAGAGGGGTCACAAACATGAACCAGAATGAGTCCACAGACAGAGTCGCCGTCTTTAGATTAATGACTGAGTTCCTCTCTGAAGTTTCATTAAATCCTCATTAACAAACTTCTCTGAAAACGTTTAAAACATAGATAAAGATCTAAAAACTCAACAGGACTGATTTCAGCCTACTTCACTTTTCTTTTGTTTACATTTTGCTCTTTGTTATTTTATTGCATCTTAGCTGTTGTGTTATATTTCTTTTATTTTTATTCTTGGCATGGAAATGGACCTAAGTACTAATTTCATACCACAGACTGTCAAAGGTGTGGGATATGACAAAATAAAGGTTCTTGAATCCTTGTAAACCTGATTCTGTGATTTATAATTGAATATCTTTGGAGTTTGAATAACAGTTAAAATCGATCTCTGGGATCCTTGATAAGATGTTAAAAACAGAATTTGAAGGTTTGAAAATCATTTTAACCTGCTATTGGACTAAAAGATTAAAAATGTCTGTTTTCAAATCTTCATTTTCAAAGAAATTCAGTTTTTAAATTGTTTAAAAATCATCTTTATTTGTATTTAATTGATTTTTTTAACTTTCTGGACTGTTGTCGATAATTGACTCTGTTTTAATCGCTTTTTATCGAACTTTCAATGTTTTTTTTTTAAAACTTGTTTCTATGATTTAGAGTTTAATATCTTTGGAGTTTGAATAACTGTTAAAATCGATCTCTGGGAACCTTGATAAGATGTTAAAAACAGAAGTTAAAGTTTTCAAAATCATTTTAACCTCTTATTGGACTAATAGATCAATATTGTTTGTTTTCAAATCTTCATTTTCAAAGAATTTTATTTTTTTAATTGTTTAAAAATCATCAACATTAAACTATTCTGGACTGTTGTTGATAATCGACTCTGTTTACTCTGTTTTAATCGCTCGATTTAACAAACATCTTTATCATTATTGAAGATTTGAAATGTGGTTTTTACATAAATATTGACTTGTCTGTGTTTTTGCTCTTCTGACACCCAGAAACAGTCACAGTCACACACTAATAATAAAGTCACGTCCCCTCACACTCACACACACAGACACACACACTCACGGCTCTTTATTGGTTCATTTATGGAGCGCTCATCCGGGGGGCCTTCCACAGATAGACCCTCACAGTCTCTGCAGACCCTCGCCCGGTCACATGAGCCTCATGAGTGCGCCCCAGAACAAGGCGCACACAGTCAGATCCATCACTGATGGCATTCATATTTCCCAGCTTGGAGTCGGCGACGAGTGCAAATGTTCACTATTGGAATCATGTGCAGAGACAGAGATGACAGAGGCCTTTGAGCGGAGCACGTCCAGTCCTGTTCGGTTCAACCAGGGTCAACTAAAGCCAAACTATCTGCAGAGGGGTTCTTCATCCTCCTCCTCCTCCTCAGCAGTACAGTCCCCCTCTGTTCTCCCTCTCCTCGCTCTCCGCAGGTCGAGCTGCAGCCGTGTTGTAGACATGCTGCTCTGTCAGAGCGTGATGGATGTCCACTCCACAAATGTGAGGGTACGAAGTCCGGGGATTCCCGTTTCCCAGAGGCCTTTGGGTGGATGGATCCCTGTTACGTAAACAAATCCATCTGCACTTCCTGCTTCTTGGTCAGAGAGAGCGAGCGAGGGAGGAGAGCTGAATTTTTATATTCTGAGACAAAACACGGAGGAGGAGGAGGAGGAGGAGGAGGAGGACGGGGGGGTCAGGAGAGGAGGGGGTGACAGAGGTAGAAGAGGAAGAGCCCTTTCCCTCTCAGCTGCACCTCCTCGCTCTTCCTGCAGTGATCTCATCTTCAGCTTCCGCCCGGACAGACCGCGGCGCTTTGAACCGTCGACCATAGGAGGCAAATATAGGAGTATGTGACACACACACACACACACACACACACACACACACGCCTGTCCTGATTATCACAGTGGAAAACAGACGGACACCCACACAGCCGGCCCGACAGGAAACAGCGCTGCTCGGAACAAACAAGCACTTCCTGTGAGCGCTGGGGCCCAATCAGAATCCGGCGTCCTGTCCACTGCATCATTATCACCATCATTCAGAGGACATTACTGCTCATTTGCTAATAGCCACAAGGCCTTATTTATGCCCCCCCCCCTCCTCTGGTGACCCAGGTTTGGACTCGTGTCTTTACACGGACGTCCGCCGCCGCCGTTCCTCCAAAACTCGCCCACTAATTGAAATACATTAGTCCTAAATTGCCTCTCTTTCCCTTTCACCCATCATGTTGACAGACGAGCCAATATTTAAGTTTGCCTCTCTAATTTGTTGTAGAGGCTGAAGTTGGTTTACAGTACCATTACTCTGACAGACGGCAGGAACAGAACCGCCATTATGTTCCCGGTTCAGAGTGCGGTCAACGCCGGACTCCATAGGGTCTGACCAAGGCCGCCAACTGGGGCCAGGGTTTCTGTACGAGCTGCTAAAAGTCTGAGTTATTCCTGTTCTGACAGAACATGAGATACCTGAGGGGGTTCCTGTATCTGAACCTCAAACATCTCAAAGCTGCTCTGTCACGATAAATAAAACACCTCTGAGGGATTTTATATCAGCGTTATCTGACGTCTGTCTGACCAGAACAAATAGTTAGTTCATGTTTGATTCAAGGACACAACTTTTTACCAGGTCTGTATGTTTGTTTGTAAGGAACAAACTTCTGAGTTAGTCTGATCGATTTCCCGAAAGAAAATTTAAAAACAATCTAGTTTAGGGAGGCGGCAGCATCTATGAGTCTGTTGGGAGACTAAAATGATAAAACTAAGTTTAATCGAACACAGCTCATAATTCTTTTTTTTTTTGCTGAATCAGACTTCTCTCCTTGTCGGCGTCGAACGTGTCCTCCTCCCCAACACTAGGGGGCGATATGGGTCTTTTCAGCGGCGCTGTTTCCGACCCCATCCAACCGTCAACAACAACAACAGCAGGTCGGTGTCAGACGTCAGAAGTGTCTACAACTGCTGCTGGGCATTTTGGAGAAACAAGAAGATGGAGCATCGTACAGCGTTGTTTTTGTCCTACGGGGGGCGTGGCACACAGGCATACTCCGACTACGCTGGTTACATGGTAGAGAAAATCGAATTCCAATCACATTATCTGGGTGTCTTAATCGAAGTTCTCAAACTCTGATTATAGTCGGACTAAGGTGTTTACATGACCTTCAGTTGTCCGGTCTTAATCGGAATAAGGCGATAATTCGGTTTTCTCAAGTGTCATGGAAACGTACTGACTGAGTCCTCATTTAGGTCTAAGGACCTCTGATGGATCTCTGTAGACTCTTAAACCTGGACTGAGATAAGGTGATCTGGTCTGAGGAGGTTCTTGTTTGGTACCACCACCCTCGATGATCTTCATCAGGTAACTAACCAACATCAAACGTCTTCTAAACAAACTACAGTAAAAATCAACAAACCCTCGATTTTTCCAAATGTTGGCGTTGATAACCCTAACCCTGTTTGCCTCCCACCCCCCTTGTCTTTGTGAGTCTGTTTGGACCAGGAAGCCGCCCGTCTTATCTGAACACACGACCCCGCTGGATGGCGGCCGGCCTGTGGAAGCTCAACTCTGAGTAAACTTTGCCTTAACTTTGAAGCGGGCCGTGTGAGCGCCTGTCCTGGGGGCTGCTCTCAGCAGCGGTGGCTCTCCAAAGGGGGAGGTCAATGGGACAGGTAAACAGGAAGTGCCAGTGCGGTGATTGACAGCCTGTTTAGACACAGAGAGATGGATGCTGGGAGAACGCTGACTCAATGACGAATCACCTCTCACTGACCGGATTCTGGACAAAGATGCTGCAGGGCACGGGGGGGGAGCATGGTGGAGAACTTCTATTTTTACCTCCAGAACAGAGTTGGGCGGGATGACGGTGTAAAAGTGTCTACCAGTAGAAATTTTGCCGTTTGCATGCGTTTCCGTAAATTCACCAGCGTGTTGTGCAGAGTTTGTTCACTCTGTTTGATTTGTCAGGTTTAGGTGCGTTTCTGTATCACCAGCGTGTCCAGCTGACTGCTTGGCAAAGTTTTGACGAAGAAGAAGAAGAAACAGCTTCACTGATGGTGGTCATGGCGGACGTGGAGATTAGCGGCAGTACCGAGCAAACAGAGGCAACCCGACCCATCTCATACGAGGAAGAGGAGGAGGAACTTGTTCTGAAAAAGGGCGCAAGTCGCGACATCAGTTATCTGGAGATTCTTCGGATTTAGAAAATCCGACAATGATCAAAAAACAAAACTATACAAAGAGTGTGGTATGGCTGTCAATGGTGGAGGAGGAAACACCAACAACCTCTTCAACCACCTAAAGATGAAACACACCTAACTCCATTATAAGATGCGTGACGCACCTGCTGCACCAAAAACTAAAACTGCAGCAGCTCCTCTCAGACTCAAGAGCTTTCAGAGTCTCTCTCCAAAGGTACGCCATATGATAAAAAAATCACCAGACTGGTCCGACATTTTATTTACATTTGTGTAAAAATCTGAGTTTAAAAATAAAAGGAAAATGAACAAATGCAACAATATGGTAATTATAAAGACATTAACTGAATTTACAGGGGGGAAAAAACATATTGTGATAAATACCGTTACCATGACATGACTTAAGGCGTGATATAACGGTGCATTCCAGTTGTTCTCAGAGGTGGGAATTTACACTTCTAACCATTTAATGTTGCAATAAGTCAGCCTGCGGCTCGGACTACAAAAGTATTATTAGATGTTTGTATATGGAAATGCTGTCATAGTGTAATTTACATTTTTTCATGTGTATATCTGAACTCTAACAACAGCTAACTGTAGCCTGGTAGTTTCAGCTGATTTTTTGTTTATTTCAACTTATAATTGACAAAATGTGTGTATGCAGTTGTTAGGAGCACTCGCCCGTTATTAACTGATGACCGATCAAACAGCGATCAATACTTTTTGTAAACAATGAAATACTTAGAAAGAAAAAATAGGCGACCTTCTGCGCCTACGTGTTTGCATGTCGCAGAACGACCCCATATTTGTCCAGAAGTCGCTGATATTCAGACAAGGTAAGCACTAAATTAACTTTCGTAGATGTAGCCATCTTGTTTCTGCCTCCGATTTTTCTTTTTTCCGACTTGGTAACTGAAACGATGTTAACTCTGGTGTGACGTCATTCCCAGCTCTGACATCTGACTTCCACGGTAACTCGAAGGCACCATAAGAAATTGTTTATACCGCCCAACACTACTCCAGAACATTCCTCCAGTTTCTCCACAGTTATCTCTGCATTTGGAGCGATTTGGTTCTGCTGAGTGAGGATATTTTTGGCCACGAGACGCTCCTCGCCACGAGCGCCACGCCCTCTCTGGAAGTGGCATCCAAATTGCTTTTTCTATGTGCCTCCCAGTAAAAAAAGCCTGTGTGCAAATCAATATTTCATCCAGCTGAAGCCATTACGGCGCTCGGAGAGGGGCGGTGACTTACAGTAAGAGGCCGAGTGTTTTGACAGCGTCTGGGTTTGTTGCCCGGGGGGGGGTGTTTGTTTGTGAGAGGAAGTTTGGGTTAGATATTCTCTAAAAGGTCAAAACTCTCCACTTTCATTAACTTTTACTCTCTTCGTTACTCTTTCTGCCTTTATCGTACCCATAATGCAACAGTGAGGGTGCTCGCAGGCCAGCAGCAGCCTGGGTGGCAGACTGAGCGCTGGGGCCGCCGCTTGCTGGAGCTAATCATGTTGATTATTACGATTACAGACCATTTCCCCCTCCCAGTGTCACGCTGCAACTTACTGACCTGAATCTGACAGGAAAAAAAAAAAAAACGTCCTGGTTGCCACGGGCGATCCGTCTTCCTGTTCTCCTCTGTCCAAAAAAAACGCCCCCTCCCTCCGTCCCGCCCTCCTTTTCCTCCGTTCAAACACAATCGGTCCCCGAGGTAGCCCAGGGACCGTTTCCTCATCCCGACCAAGGCATGACCAAGAGCTTTACTGGACACACACACACACACACACACACACACACACACACACACACACACACACACACACACACACACACACACACACACACACACACACACACTGATTTCTGTCTACATTTCCCCTCTCAGCCAGTTTCCTCTTTTTCATTAGGTTCTGGCAGCAGGATAAAGTTTTCCTGCTACTGTGCGTCCAGCAGCAGGCGTGCAGATGTTGTGCGCGGCGGTGGTGGCGGCGGGGCTCCTCCTCCTCCTCCTTCCACATGTGTTTATCAGATCGCTGCTCTGTTTCATAATCTCCATCATACAGCAGATAACAAAGCCTTTGATTTGGGGCTGATTTCCCCCCATGTTAAATTTAGCAGAGTGATCACTCAGGGTGATTACGGGTCTCTGTGGTCTTCTCTGGATCAGATGGGACACACACACACACACACACACACACACACACACAGAGCGCGGCGGCCCGGCTCAGAGGAGGTGGGCCGGGTCAAACAGGAAAGTTCTGTTCAAGGATGTAAGGATTTATGACGGGTTACCTCACCTCACCTTCTCTGGCCGAGGGTTCTGATGATGATTACACATTTCCAAGGATCAGAGACTCGTTTCCTCTCTGGCAGCTGAACTCCTCTGTGAGGAGAATTATGGTCCATCTGAGCTCAGATGTTAAAGAACCAGAGACGGTCAGATGGTTCTGAGGACACTTATGAACGGAGGGCAGGAAAGGAGAAGTAGAAGAAAAAGGAGAGGAGGGAGAAGTAGTACAAGTAGAAGAAGAAGAAGAAGAAGAAGAAAAAGAAGTTGAAGAATAGTAGAAGAAGAAGTAGAGGAAGATAAAAAAGAAGTAAAAGAAGTAGAAAAAAATGAAGAAGTAGAAGAAGAAGAAAAGGAAGAGGAAGAAGAAGTAGATGAAGTGAAAAAGAAGAAAAAGTAGAAGTAGAAAAAAGGGAAGTAGAAAAAGAAGTAGAAGAAGGAAAAGTAGATAAAGTAGAAAAAGGAGAAGAAGAAGACGTAGAAGAAGAAAATGAAGTAGAAGTAGAAGAAATAGTAGAAGTAGAAAAAAGAGGGAAAAGAAGTAGTAGTAAAAGAAGGAGTAGAAGAAGTAGAGGAAGTAGAAAAAGAAGTGGTAGAAGTAGAAGAAGACGTAGAAGAAGAAGTAGAAGAAGTCGAAAAAGAAGAAAAAGACGAAGAAGACAAAGAAGTAGAAGTCAAAGTAGAAGATCTCTCTGGTGTTTATCTTTTCTACGCTGTAGTTCAAAATAAAAAAAGGTGTAAATTTCAGTTTTTCTGTCTAAAAGTCGTTTATTCCTAAAATTCCTCAGACTTATCTAGAGCAGATTTATCGGCACAATCACAAACTACCGAACAGTTGAAGAAGTGAAGCTGATTTTTAATAAGAAAGTCCTAAAATGAGATAAAGATGAAGATGAAGTCATCAGCCCACGAACAAACAAAGTTCCCTGGATGTCAGAAAAAGACGAGTGGAGGTCAATAACATGAAAATAAAGATCATTTTTAATGAATTCGATCTTTTTATCATCTGAGGATTAATCACACGTTTGTGTTTAAACTCTTAATTTCCCTGATTACGTTGTTTTCTTTCCAGATTAAATCAGAATGATGAATATCTGTGGATGATGTCATCCTCTAATCTCTCTGTTTCTATGAGAAACCCTGTGTCCTCATCTGCCCCTCTATTACACGGGGTCCCTCAGGGGCCGGTTCTCAGGGCCATCCGTTTTTCTCCGTATACGTTCTCCCTCTGGAACAGTAAATCAGCTGATCTGGTTTTATATGAAATCAGTGCGACTCTCTTTCTTTCCCTCCACTAACACCCTTCAGTGAACTCGCCCTCTCTCTCCGAGTTTATCAGACCTTCTCTAGAAACTTCGTCCATGACTCTCATCTGAAGTTTGACCAAAAGAAAATAAACTTGTTCATTAAAGCTGATAAAGATAAGAAATGACTGAAATTCATATGAGAGAAATAAATAAGAGTGTTCTCTTGTTGTTGTTTTTATCTTCTTTGTTTTTCTTAATGTTAAAGAACTTTGTTAACTCTTGTTTTTAAAAGTGCTATAAAAATAAAGTTATTGTTATTATCATCATTAAGTAGGGCCCGACCGATTTATCAATTTTTAGCCCGTTTGAGACTAATCGGTAATCAGCCAAAACTTGCCTATGTTCGCCGATATTTTCAGAAATAAAATGCGGAGAATAAGATTTGGTTTCACTTGGAAAATGTTCCGCCATTTGAAAAGTTCCCCTGACTTATCCTGTAGATGGCGCTACAGCGACCTCATGCCAATCTTAGAGTGACGGATCTGAAGCAGCAGCTCAGGGACGCACGGAGGAGAGTGGTCCGCCTCAACGGGAAATAAACCAGTTTGTGAAAAACACAATAAATCAACAAGTTTCAGTTCAACCCACTTCACCATGTTCCCCGCTGGGCTGGTCTCGGTCACGCCGAGTTAACGCTGAAGCACCATGTGATATGAAGCTAAAGTTAGAGTTAGTTGAAGAGCAGTAGCCTAAAGTATATCTACAGTATATCTACAGTATATCTACAGTATGTCAACATTTTTTATAACTTCATAAAAAATTAAATAAATCGGCCGAATAATTGGTAATCAGATTTTTTTTCCGGTATCGACTACACACAGCTTTGTCCACAGGGGGCGCCAAATCTGACACAAAGGACAATAATAACCTCAGCTCAAATTAACTGTGACTGCCAGGTTATAATAATGCAACATATTTAATTATTCTATAGTGAACAAAGCAATACAAATATTTATATTAACTGCAGAACATCAGAAGAAACGTCTGCAGATAATTTTATTTATTTTACTGAATTTCAGACCAAAACTATGAAGATCAGTGACGCAGACGTGTGTGATGGACTGTTTAGTTTGAGTCCCTGTGTTTAAAGGGTCGAAAGTTTTTAACTAACTTTATTTTAAAAAACTTTATAGATTAACAAACTAATAGATTATGTATTTATCGCTCTTTAAAGTAGTTGATGGTTCTGGTCTGTGTCTCGTCCGGCCTTTTTATTGCCACCATCCATTTCCGGCAGAACCAGAGACCAGTTAGGAATGTTTCCCCTCATAAGTGCGTGAATACATCAACGACGGCTAATCAAATACCAACGTGCTTGTTCCAATAGAGAGGAGGGGAGGGGGGCGGGGCCAGGCGTTAAGTCGTGAGGAGGGCAGCAGCAGAAACCCCCGGAGGAAACGCCGGCGTGACCTCACAGCAGAGGAATGTAAGATGCAGCTTAATTGATTAGAGGAGCACATGATGGAGGTCTGGAGAGGAGGAGGAGGAGGAGGAGGAGGAGGAGGAGGAGGAGGGATTGCCAAGCATTTTTTTGGGGTAGAGGAGGAGGGGGCGTTGACCTTGTGGAGGGCACAAAGGTCTGCGGCCTGAAGGCTACTGGTGCCTGTCAGGAATCCCGTCACAAAGAGCTTCTATTCTAATATATTCACATCTATTGACAGCTGAGCATGATCAATGAGGACGGGACAGGACGGACACACACACACACACTCACACACACACACACACACACACACACACACACACACACTGTCTTTGTCTAATGATCACTAATAACTCACTTCTCCACCTCCTCATCCGATTTTTAGAGTTATCGCTTTTCTTCTTCACGTGGTTTCAACGCGCTGAGTGACGTGAAGACAGCAGGTGACACGTCTGAGACACACACACACACACACACACACACACACACACACACACACACACACACACTCCCAGCCTGAACAGATGGAGCGGCATGGTCTGTCTGGCAGCACACCTTGTTGGTGGTCGGATTGAACCCGATGCCCACTGCTCCCCTCCCTTCAAAAATGACCAAACACACACACACACTTACACACACACACACACACACACACACAGTTATTTTTATCCTTTTCTTTCAGTCTGACCCCTAAAAGCATCAAAACCGCCTTTTCAAAATAAAAGCCCCTTAAATCTAAGATGCTTTCCCTAAACAGACGTGTTTTAATCTCCGTGTTTGAAGTTTGACATTTCTTACTTATCGGACCACTTCTCCTCACGTCTGATTTCTTTGAGCTTTCTTGACTAAAGCTCCAGGGAGAGCGAGGATGTGAGGAAGGAGGAGGAGGAGACGAGGAGGGAAAGAAGGAGGCTGCTGCCACATGCCTGTCAATACTCCAATCAAAGCCAATTCCCCAGAGAAGGTCAGGGGGACAAGGGAGCATCTCTATGACAACCCCCCGGACCCCCGAAATCAGGACTTCAAAGGTAGAGCGGCGTCCCATTGAGCGAGTGGGAGACCACCTCCTGCAGTCATTTACATCTCATTAAGACAGAACGGCGAGGAGTTCAGACCAACGCAAACATGAGCGTGATGCACGAGCGTCAAAAATGAGGTTTAATCTCAGATTTCAGAATCAGACATCAAATCATGAACCAGGTGACGGTCCAGGAGATCACACACTTCAAACATCTGTGTGTGTGTTCAGGAAATCACACACTCACTGTATGAACACATGAAATCAGTCTGAACATGAGGCTGAGGCCAACAGCTGATCAACTTTATATGAAGGTGAGGTAAAGGCAGCTGATCTGATGGACATTTGTGCACATGTAGTTTCTGGAAATCAATTAACTCCTTCACAGTTTTCAGTTTTGGAAATTGAATTTGATCTCAAATCCAGCTTGTATCTTTTAAATGAATAAATTGGATCTTCTATCAACCTAATTCTTTTATTTTGTTTCTCTTTAATGTACTTGTATACTCTTTATTTATATATATGTATATATATATATATATATATATATATATATATATATATATATATATATATACATACATACATATATACATACATACATATATGTATATATATTTATACATATATGTATGTGTGTGTGTATATATATACTGTATATATATATACATATATATACATACATACATATATGTATATATATATTTTTTATATATATATTTATACATATATGTATATGTGTGTATATATATATATATATATATATATATATATATATATACAAACATATATTATATATATATATACACACATATATATGTGTATATATATACATACATACATACATACATATAATATATATATATATATATATAGTTGTTATATCAATGTGAGGAATGTTGAGGAAGAATACAGGGTTGTGGTTCGGTTACAAATATAGTCCCAAAAGAGGCGCCAATATACGTCAGAGTGAAGCATCATAAATATCAGAGTGCAGCATAAATTTAAAGCTCCAGTGAGGAAGTTTTGATCTGAAATGATCCCTGATGTCTCTAAATAAGTGATAACTTCTGAACTCTTTCTGAACTGAACTCTGTCGTTACCTGTACAGGTGTTTTTGTTATTGTCACTGAGTATTTGTGCCCTGAGCAGAGTGAATGTGTCCTGTAACAATGTGTCCAATAATAAATCAATCACTGTTAA